AAAAATTGGGCTTTCTCTTTCCTTTTCTATAACTAATAGTAGCTAGTCTTAAATTAGTTTACAAATAGAAAATTAAAAAGTAATTTGCTACACTTAGGTGGTTATACAAGATATAATAGATAATTCAAAATTAATATCATCTTAATACAAATCTGTAACTAATCTTATTATATATATAATAAATTCAAAATAATAAAAATAAAAAAAAAACTACCAGACCAATTTTAACATTCTTTCTACTATTAAATATGTCTTGATAAGCTTTACAACTTTTATTAAAAGCTCAAATGATTTACTTAATAAGAAAAAAGTTTTAAATAAAAGTATTTTACTTTCAGGCTTATAATAAAATTTATATATAAAAATTTTTTTGTTTAGTTAACTAAAGGATTACCAATTATAAAAATTAATATTTGTTTTAAGAGCAAAAATTTTTTTTTAACTTTATAAATATATAAAATTTTTTAAAAAATTTTTAATAGTAAACCCTAATATCATACAAACTTAAAATTTTAATTAATCAAAAGTTTTTTAATATTTTAAAAAAATTTTTTTAATAAAGTTAATAAAATAGATCTTTAAAAGTCTTTTTTAATTAGAAAGTATATTGCTAAAATTAATATTTAAGATTTTATTAAAAAAATAGAATTTAAAAAAAAATCAAGCAAATTTGCTTGTTATAATTTAAGAGATAGTAAAAAAATTGATATACTAGATAGTATACTATTACTAAAATTTGTACCAAGATACTACTCTGATATGAAACATTTATAAATAATATTATACAAGAAAAGAGGTAGTGTTATAAACCAGCTAAAGCAGCCATGACTAATCTGACTTAGCCAGCTAAGCTAGCTAATATAAAAGATCAGCTAACTAATACAGCTAAAAAACATATAATTAAAATTTTAATAAATTTCAAAATAAAAAATAGATAAACAAGTTAAAACCTTTGTAAAAGTTCTAAAATATTCTATAAAGTAAGCTATCAGCTAGCCACTTAGCCAATATTTTGGTTGACTGGCTTAGTCAACCAATTAAAACCATTCAGCTTACAACATTAGATTACATTATAATATATAAAAAAAAAAAATAACAAAACAGATAGCAATCATGATCATAAAAGTTTGTTAAATAAAGTATATTATACTGTATACCAAATTTTTTTGTTAGTATACAAAAGGCGGCTTCATAAGTGAAATTCTGAGATATTAATGATTTTTTTAAAAAGAATGCAATTTTTATATTACACCTAATTGGCTTGCCATGGCTAGGGTACTAGCTTCGGACACTAGCACCTGTCTTCCTAGTTTATGAAAGAACTCTTACCGGTACATAAAATATATTTCACTAAGCTCTTATACGAAATTTCCAAGATTAAAATATGGCATGGAAATTTCGCATGCGAAATTTTTTTTTTTTATAAACCGAAAAATAATAAAAAGGGGGCGCAAATCGACCTCCGACCCTAAAATTGCTGGTCCGGAACCAATAAAATCTCCGGTTTGTGTGTAAAAAACCGCGAAAATAGCAAAAAAGGTGAAAAATCCTAAATAGAGCCGAATTTTACTATGCTAACCAACTTCTAATTAAAAATGTTCAGCATTAAAATTTACATATATCACTTACTTTTTTATATCGTATTTATGTATAATACTTGAGATACTCCGATTTTCGCTTGACATAAGGGTACCTAATAATAAAGACTAATTTTTATTGGAATTATACCAGACCCTGTTTCCAAACTGTCCTAGCGTTACCGTATAGCGCTGCATATAGTACCCCGGGTACTACTCAAGAAAGCCGGCCTAGATTGAATAATACCCCCCAAATATTGAGAGATGAGAGGATAATACTAATAATCGTTACGTATACCTTGCTATTAGACGTATCAAACAAATGAAATGATCGTGCTTTTAATTATGAAATTGAGCCACAAATCGCTTGTCAAAAATGGGGGATACTATTCCAGGGGGGTACTATATGCAGCACTATACGGTACTATAGAACGCAGATGAAACTGGCGAATATCTAAAATCTGATTGGCTGTTATAAAGTTTACCAACCTAAAAAATTTCATTACCCAATCAGATTTCAATATCAGGTGTAACGCAGAAGAAACGCAAAAAATCAAAACAACCGAAAAAATCGCTCATAACTCAACATTTTATCTATGAAACCACCTTCTGCGCACTAACAAAAAGTTTTCCTTGCAAAATTTTGATACTACCAAAGCACTTTTTAACCTAACTTAATAGCAAAATCTAACCCTAATCTAACAGCGAAATTCTTTTGGCGAAATTTTTTAGGTTGGTAACGCTAGATCAGTTCGTATGCTGCATACAAACCTTTTATAATGTATCGAAAACCCCAACGAAGGATCCAATATTTAATCAAAAGTGCTCAATTTATACTCTTGGCAAAATTAAAATTCGAAACAAACAAGTGCAGTTATGAAAATTGAATTAAAAAATATAAAAAAAACTAAATTGTTAAAATCTTTAAAAGATGAATTTTGGGCTGGGCGCTAATAAATTAATTCTGGAGATTACCAACGAGTATAATCCAGGTTCAATTTAGGGAGACACAACTAAATTTATATATAGTATTAGTATGTTCTTAAAGGTGTAGCTTGTTTGCAATGTTATCACATTTGTTCACAATTAAAATTAATGCAGAAATTTCATTATTTCATTTTTAATTTCTTTTAGAAATTTTGCATATATAAAAAAATGTATATATTACCGAAAAAAATAAAACATTAAAATAAAAATTGAAAAAACCTAGCGACCCGGATTTCAAACCAAATAACATAAAGATCATTGAAGAAAAAAGGAAATGTCTAGTATGCGGTGATCATTGAAAGACAATGGTATATAAATGTATGGAATAGAAATGGCCATAATATATTTTATACATTTTCGCTGGTCACACATATTGATATATTATGATTTAGTTATTCTTCTAAATTTTACTTGGTCATCATCATCTTAACAAACTCTTCGTAGTTAATTTGGCCGTCACCATCGACATCAGCTTCACGAATCTATAAAAACGTATAATGAATCAATATTTGTGAAATATATAGCATTTAAAAGTTGGTGACATGGTTCGAATTAAAATAAATTAATATCTAAATTTACCATTTCATCGACTTCTTCGTCAGTAAGCTTTTCACCAAGGTTGGTCATGACATGTCTCAATTCAGCAGCGGAAATAAATCCATTGCCATCTTTATCAAAAACTTTGAAGGCTTCTTTGATTTCTTCTTCAGAATCAGTATCTTTCATTTTACGAGCCATCATGGTTAAGAATTCAGGAAAGTCAATTGTACCGTTGCCATCAGCATCTACCTCGTTAATCATATCTTGCAATTCAGCTTCGGTGGGGTTTTGACCAAGAGACCGCATAACAGTACCAAGTTCTTTAGTTGTAATGGTACCATCGTTATCTTTGTCAAAAAGAGAGAATGCTTCTTTGAATTCAGCAATTTGTTCCTCGGTTAGCTGGTCCTATTAGAGGAAAATTTATGCAAATATGAAACCAGATGTTAAAAACGAGTTAGTCCCGATGAACTTTTGAAACTTATTTTCGGTTATTAAGGAGGTAGTAAATATTTTAAGAAAATATATGTGGAACATTAAAGTTCAAAGTTCCTTTCTTATTAATAAACTTCATTTTGTCAAAGGTTTTGTAAACTATTAAGTGGTCAACAATCATAATTTTTTGTTCTCGGTCTGTATTACCGATTTATTACGTGTAAACGAGTGTATGAGGCAAAATTTCTCTTTCGCAATGTAGTTAACAGCTTACCATTGTCGTAATCTGAAGATTTGAATAAATGTAGGTATAGGATTGGCTTTTTTTTTTTTAATGGAACGACCTTTTTTTAGGCGCGGCGAGTAGAATTGAATTTTGCTGAATCTTTGAAGTTACGTTAACGTGCATACGTGTAACATTTGCACAACGATTGGAGGGGATGATTTTACTCCTTTCATCATGACTTAAAGTTTATCTGTCACCCAGTATCTTATATTAGTTACGTCACGTTTTATTCCACATGAAACGGATTTTACGTAAAGTTTTGTTGATTTACTATATTTGGGATAATATCGGACGTTGACAACTAGCGCTAGTATCATTATGGCCGCCAACTTTTGGGCTTCTTCTCATGGGTAACGGAAATGTTAAAGTTTCAAAGATCTAATGAGATTTAGTTTGAATTTATTTCCTAACTTTATTCAACATCCCTTTTAGAAAGCAATGGCTTCTTAGTAGGCAGAAGCTTCAGGAAAGCAGGAAAGAAGACTTGAAATATATCACTCCGCTTGAATTGACGAAAGTCAACATATGGTTTGCCAAATGTATGTTTGGTTATTTATTAAAAGCCTAAATTATTCAGGTATAACTGCTGCTTTTCGTTTCATCTGATTCTAAAAATTTTGTTCAAATAGTAATGACTGAGCTAGGAAATAGTCTCGCGGTGAGACAAGTTATTATTGCCACCGCATTAACTTATTTCAAACGATTCTATACAAAGTATTGATTTCATTATTATTCTATTATTGTTTGAACTATGACCTATGCTAACATTCTGAATCCATCATAATAGGAATAGTTATAGAGGAAGTGAACCTTATCTGGTCGCTGCTACTTGTATGTATCTAGCATGTAAAATAGAGGAATCACCACATCACATAAAGAGTGTTATTACAGAGATGAAACACGTAATGCAAGGTAGGTGATATAGAAAGTCGATCTTGAATTTACTTTAATTGATTTGCATTTGAATTATAACAATTTTATAAGATAAGGGTAGTTTCCAATACGAAAATCATAAAGTGGCGGAAATGGAGTTTTACCTTCTTGAAGAATTAAATTTTAATATGATTGTATTTCATCCATATCGAGCGTTAACAACGCTAGCACAAGATCTTGGCACAAAGAATGAAGATGTGCAGAGAGCTTGGTTTATCGTAAATGATACGTACAAGACAGATATGTGTCTCTTGTATCCACCATATGTGATTGCTACCGCTGCACTTTACTTACCTATTGCACTTAAAGGAGGTGGTCAATATGGCGATAACAATTCTTCAAATGGTAATAGCGCACAAGGTGTAGTTACAAGAGGTGCTAAAAGAGGTGCTACTTCTGCTGTCACTAATAATACCAATAATAGTAACGAGACTACTAAAGTAAAAGACATAAGGCAATGGTTCGCATTATTGAATGTTGATTTGGATCAGGTAATTTAGAATTATCTCCTTTTAATTTTCATGTCTAATTATAATAATTAATAATTAATTTATTATAGATTATCGATATTGTCCAAGAAATAATATCATTATATGAAGTATGGGACGATTATAATAAAAAACCTCAAGAAATTCATGGAATTTTACAAAGATTGTTAAAAAAATAAATTATTAAAGAGGGGCAGGACGTCTAGAAATAACATTACATGAAACAACATAGACCTGCTACCTTTAGTATTAGAGCATTTTATAGATTCCATTATTCAGGGTTGCATAAATGTCAATGTTCATTATTGACCAGACCAATTTATCCAGTCTGGCCCAAGAGTTTCATTGCTGGTCAAATTATACATATGGTATATGTATAATCAATATATAATGTACACATTTGTATAATAAAGCTATTTAATTAATAGGCTATTTGACCAGTTTAGCCAGAGATCATTTGATCATTGACCGGCAAATTTTGGTTGACCAATGATTTGAATAACCCTGATTTTGTTATATGTCTCTGAACCCTTTTCTCCAAGAAAACATAATTTCTGATAATATAATTTTTTATGTTAATTCATATTAAATTAGATTTATCGTATATATTTGTAAATAAAATTTTATTTTTATTAAAGATAGTGAGCAAAAAGTTGAAGAAATTACCACTTAGGTTTTAATAGTGCTGATTTTCTTTACGTATATACTGTATGTTGTAAATGGGAATTTCCTAGTTAAATTAGGGTTAGTGTTAAGGTTTACATATAATAAAATCAACCCAAAACGGGGTTTTATATATAAATTCCGAATCCAGTTTCCACTTATATATATTGTCGCGGATCATAATGAAATTGGATTAAATGAGGGTTTCTATTTGTCCCCCCTAAAACCCACCTATACTTGTTTATTATAAAGCCTGCCCTTAAACCCTAACCCTAAAAAAATGCTAAAAAAGTACACCCCAAAATTTTGTATTTTCGGTAGCTTGTCTATTTTACACTCTCTCATTTCATTTTAATCTGATTTCATTTTAATCCGTCACATATATTATGAATTATACCACGTTTAAATTCGTATAGATTTGCACAAAACTGACCGAATAAGGGGGTCGTTGTCAATTCCCCGAAAGCTATTTACCAGACAGGTCACTTACCCGACATCACATAGGGTTAGGGTTAGCATTTGATTAGCTGCAGGTATATATTTTTAGCAATTCGTCACCCTTGTGATGTCGTGTAAGTGACCTGTCGGGTAAATAGCTTTCGGGGAAAGCTATGGGCACAACATTTCACGTGACTATCGTCTTATCGGCACAACAAAATTGACCAATAAGAGCCCAACAATTTTAACATGATTTTTAACCAATCATCATTAAGTTGATCAATTATCTACTCAACAGTTGTTAGTTATGTACAGTAAACTGATTTTCTAATGATAATTTTACTTATACACAGTGATGTCGGTCCAATGGGTTCAATGAACTTAGACATTTAAAGTTTATACTGTTCAACACTCAATTAATTATTGGACTATATAGATTTATAAGCATGTTTATATTAAAAATTTAACTAGAGTTCAACAAAATATTCAATATAATATAATTATTTATTAGATTAAAATTCGATTTTTTTGTCTAATATACAACACTGCTTATACAGTAGGGTGTAAATAGCCAGGTTATACATATTGTTATACTGGAGGTATTAAAGTAGTTTGTATTTAATAGAAAGTGAGTGAGAGTTATCCTCAGAGGCATTAAAGGCTCCCAAAACAATAGTTTGAAGGTTTATTGTAGCTGCTTGTTGTATCCATTGTATAATGGTATTTTGTATTTGCAGTCTTAGTTGAAGATCGTCACAGAGTAAATAGACCAAAATGATTCTGAACTTAAAATCATATTTAAAAAAGATGTCTGTAGCTATTGCATATCCTGAGATAGTAAGAATTTTGTAAATGTGAGGTTTAATCCAATTATTAATCATAATAGCTGTATCAGCTTTGGAGCTATTGGTGCATGACCAGTAGTATATAAAGTGTTTAGATTTTTGAATTTTGGTAATAGGGTTTATGTCGGCTATTTTAGTTTCTGTAATACCAATAATATTGAGGTTATTAATAAGACAGTAATTCTCCCAAATTTGTTGTTTAAGATTAGTATTGTATTCTCTAACATTGTGAGTACAGATATTTAGATTGAGTGGTTGAGAGTGAGTAGTTGATGGAAAGGTAGGGGTGTTTGATTGTGATTTTAGAGAAATATTATAGGAATTGTAGGTTGATAGTATATAATGATTTGGAAGTTTGTTAAATTCATGTAGTAAGTACACATATGCTTCAGTTTTGTTACTATTAACAGTAATGAAGAAGTAGTTAGCCAAATAGTTGGCGTTGTTTTATCATATATGATGTAGGAAAGAATTAATAGTTTGTGGTTTACTTAATAAAGGAAGATTATAATATGTGAGAAATTTGTTATAGCATTTTCCAAATCATAGAAGTTTGATAATATTGGTAATGATTTGGACAAGGAAGCTTCTGCAAAGTCGCTCACTGTTTCAAGCTCAGTTCTCACAGCTGCACAGGATTCCATAGTCTGCCTTGTATGTTGGATCTGACCGTTATATAAATAGTTCTTCACGTAAATAAACTTAACCACCTGTCCACTTACATCATTCTCTTCTGAAAATGGCCCACTTGAAGTGGAGA